AAAAAAAAATTCTTATAGAATGTGGACTGTAGAATCCATAATTTCAAACAGTTTCAAGATTGGGCTACTAATTCAAAAGTTACAGCCCTTTGAATTTTCTTTCGAAATTGGTTTCTAGTCTATAACTTTTGATCGAGAAGTCTGATCGAAAAAGTAGGAATTGTTTTGGATTCTACGCACCAAAATTAATAAGAAAAAGTGTTTTCCCGAGAAATTTTGGTGTAGTCGATTTTTGGTAAAAAAAAGGAAGGTAATACACTGCCTTTTTTTGAGGCGCCAAAAAAAATTGTCTCAGATCGACCCGGAAAAAAATTTTTCTTATAGAATGTGGCCTGTAGAATCCATAATTTCAAACAGTTCAAACATTGGGCTACTAGTTCAAAAGTTACAGCCCTTTGAATTATCTTTCGAAATTTGTTTCTTTTCTAGTCTATAACTTTTGATCGAGAAGTCTGATCGAAAAAGTACGAATTGTTTTGGATTCTACGCACCAAAATTAATAAGAAAAAGTGTTTTCCCGAGAAATTTTGGTGTGGTCGATTTTTGGTAAAAAAGGAAGGTTATACACTGCCTTTTTTTGAGCCCCGAAGAAAAAATTGTCTCAGATCGACCCGGGAAAAAAATTTTCTTATAGAATGTGGCCTGTAGAATCCATAATTTCAAACAGTTCCAAGATTGGGCTACTATTTCAAAAGTTACAGCCCTTTGAATTTTCTTTCGAAATTGGTTTCTAGTCTATAACTTTTGATCGAGAAGTCTGATCGAAAAAGTAGGAATTGTTTTGGATTCTACGCACCAAAATTAATAAGAAAAAGTGTTTCCCCGAGAAATTTTGATGTAGTCGATTTTTGGTAAAAAAGGGAGGTTATACACTGCCTTTTTTTGAGGCGCCAAAAAAAAATTGTCTCAGATCGACCCGGAAGTATTCGAATACTAAATATTTGTGAAAGTATTTGAGTTACAAATACAAATACTGCTTCCATAAAAGTATTTAATTACAGAGTATTTGAATACTTTAAAGGATTATTTGAATACTAAAAAGTATTAAAAAATCAAATACTGCCCAGCTCTGCATATATCTACTCCCGCATCGCCACAAAAAGATTGTATTTTCGACCATTTTCTAAGGACATACAATATCCTGCAACAGCACTGGATTGGGGTTACATAAATTTTAAATTTCCTTACAAGAAAAATTGTATTGGTGACAATTTGTGAGATCTTGCATGTCATTCGATTTTTCTTGTAGTCAATCCTTGGATATTTTCCATCTATTATTAGAACCTATTTGGCTATTTGGTTAACCACGAGTAATCGTGATTTTCATGTCAAAAGCAAGTAGCAAATTGTACCGATTTCAGGAAATCGTGTACACTCTACGGTGTAAAAATCCTGATCCAATAAGTGTCATTTAATGCAAATCCACGAGGAATGCTGAGATCGACGGTGTTATAATGCCCATATTGAGCACTCACGAATGTGAATCTATGTACTTGGAACTGGGATACACAGACACCTGTTAAACAGCGGAAATAAAACCCATTTAAGGATAATTTACTATTGTCTTCCTAGAATTTCATCATTCCTTTGAAATGGAATTATTTCCTCGATGTTTCTTACATGAGGGGACAAAGATTACCTTCAATGCCTAAAAATTGCTACCATTTTCCTTAATTTCCACAAATTTACAAATAATTTCTCCGAATTAACGTGAAATGAGTACCTAACGTTACTTCCCTATAGAATCTTGTATTTCCTCTGAATTTCTTCAAAATTTCTTCGGAATTTCCTCTAATTTTGTCCATTTCCTACACATTTCGTAGATATTTCCTTGAAATTTTCTGTATGAGGGACAAAAATTTTCTTTGTGATCACTCGCTTCCATAGCCTTCTCATTCTCTTACTTTCCTTGTAGTACCTCGATAAAATGTTCCAGAAATCCGTATTTGTTATTATTTCCCTGATTATTTCCTCTCTTCTTTCCTTCTACACCATTTATCTGTGTCTGTTTCTCTCTTCTGCACATTCTCTATCCCACTACTCTTTTCTTTTCCTCTCTCCTCTCCTTCAATTATTTTCTATCCATGTTATTGCTTTTTTAATACTCTCCTTCAAACTATTCCATTGCTCCTCTGTACTCACTCCTACTTCTTCTCCCTGTTCCTCTGGTCTCCTTCCCTACAGTGTCTTGTCCATAACTGTATCTCCCTTCGTCTTTGTGTCTTTTTATTTCTTTATCTTCTTATCTTCCCTTTTATACTCAATTGATGATCCGATTCTATCCTTATTCCTACCTTGCATTCATCAATTTCTTCCAGTATTTTTTTCATTTACGTCTGCGTGATAAATTACCGACCTCACTCTTTCTCCCAAGTATATGAATTGCTCGCTCCCCTCTATATTTCCGTTTAAAATTCTCGAACCTCTTTTTTCTGATAATTCCAGTAACACTTCTCCCTCTCCGTTGCATTCTTTATCTCTTGAGTTACTATCTTGTGTTCCTCTTCTCATCTCCACCCATTTTCCGTTAATTCCTTGGTCTATCATTAAAATCTCCCCTTAATATTAACCCCTCCTCTCTTTCATCTACCATATTTTCTATTTTATTTTGGAAAAATGTTAAATATGCTGGACTCGTTTTTGGCATAGATATGTATAGAGATTTTAAAAGCATTATTTCTAACAAAGTCACTATTATTTTTTTTCCCTCCACTTCCACTCGTCTGACCTGTATCTCTTCCTACTCTACTACGAATTATTTCCTGAGATGCTATTTTTGAAGGTGCGTAACAATAACATGTGACAATTGGTCTATTTTTCATACGCAGACCTTTAGTGGTGCAAAGTAAAAACTTGAAAGTGGGGGGGGGGGACGTTCTATTCTTCACGGTCTTTTAATTAAAGGGGTGGATGAACACACGTCCTACCCGTGATAGTATTCCCCTTATACCTCAAGAACGGATTGTCGGAAGAGGGTACTCACAAAGGTCGATTGAGACGTCTGCAAGAAAAATATCCATTGACCAAAACAAAAGCTATTTCGGTTTAAAACCAGGTGCCAAATTCTTGACAGAATTGCTTCCTAGCTGAAACCAAAAATTGCCAACATATGTACGCACTTACAGACGGGAAAAATTTATTCTTTAAAAGTTGCTTAAAATGATAAGAAAGTTTGATGTTGCACATGCGCAACTCGATTTTTTGCGCATGCATTTTGTTTTCTTTTATTAGGAGGACCTACCATCCAAATTTCGTTTTAATTGTTCCATAAATAAGAAAATTCCATTTCTGCGCATGCGCAACACGATTTTTGCGCATGTATTTTGTTTGCTTTTATTAAAGGGACTTACCATAGAAATTTCGTTTAAATTGCTTCAGAAACAATATCGTTGCGTTTTGCACATATGCAACACAATTTTTTGACTTTGACAATTTTTTTCTCCGTTTTTTGATAATATAACCCGGCCCAATTTTTTGTAGGTTGTACACAGGAAAATAAGGTCTTCCAAATAATAGAATAAAAATTTTAGGTTGCTATTTGAAAAAAAAAGTTGCCGTTACGGCGCTCCAAAATTTTTTTTCAAAAATCCGGCCCGTTATTTTTCTGTTCGGTATGCCTAAAACATATATACAAAATTTCAACAAAATCCGTCGAGCCGTTTTCTCAGAAAATTGCCAACAAACGTACGTACTACGTACGTACATACAGACGGAAAAAAATTTTATTCTTTAAAAGTTGCTTAAAATGGTCTAAAACGTCGACATTTGATGAAATTTTGAAATGTTAAAAAAACGGCTATCGCAATAGCTACCTAGCACATGCTAGGAAGCTAAAAATGCGCTTTATCTGCACATAACATACATTCAAATAGTACGCTTTTGTAAAGGAAAAAATTTACAGCAATTTATTAACACCTAATAACTAATACATGTCATTAGGAACGGGGTATCAATGTGTAGGATGTCGCCAGGTAGTTTATTACCCTTTCAAGTAATGAGATATCATCTTTGAGTTTTAAGTGCAAGTTGAGTTGCCTATCTGTACGTTAGCGCTTTCCTTTTTTTCTGAAAATCCCGGAATCTATTTTTTTAAATATACGCATTATTATAATAGATGGAAATGATATCTTTAAGTGCCGACGTAGAAAATACTGTGACATTTCCAAATTGGTGCTGTACGGTTTTCTACTCTCATTACAACGGCTGCTATTTAAGAAAAACGATTTTTCTATTCATGGATCTAACTGAAAAACTAAGACCGATATGTTTACTTTTTTTAAGTGCCGACGTTCTTTTTATCATTGCATAGAATATCCGCTATCGAGAATTTGTTAGATTTCAACTACAAAATAGCATAATTTCATAAGTACGTTTGGCTTTTCAAATATGGCGGATTGACTACAGAGGAGCCTATAGGCAACACACTATACACTCCAATCGTGATCCTGGTAAACGGTAAGTACTTCTTTTTATATTCTTCCATAGTCTATAGCTGTACATCTTTAATTATTATCTATATTCAAAGCTGGTCTTTAGCTCTGTGAGTTTATAGCAACTCCTTAATGATCATGAAAGAAACTAGGTACAGTTTGGCACTTGTACCCTTCCATAACTACCACTAAATAAAACCAATTTAAACTGTTAAATGTTTTATTATCATTTCAAGACAAATAAAGAACAATGATATAAGTAGGTACAAAAGTAAAAGGTAATACGTCTTTTTGAAATACAGTAGATACATAATATTTGTAAAGATCTATGAAAGTTATCTGACTTCTATAATAAGTGGTCGTAACAACTCACAATCAAATCGATTATTGCTTGATAATACTATCATTTTAAAGCGGCATACAAAACACACAATCTTTGCAATCACGCTGTGTAAACACGCAATAATAAGTAGATTTTTTCTTAACAAACAAGCGACACTCATCAAGCTTATACAATATCAACAGGGTTTATAGTTTAGAGAGATTTATTCACGACGTGTCGTCTACTATGCGCAGATTCTTTACAAATAGCTGTAAATCGTCAGATAAAAATGGTGTCACATATAAAAGTATTCAATAAATCTAAAAATTATTTAACAAAACTAAAAGTGAGCAACTAGTCATCATTGGTGTTGTACGTTCTGTATACCTCGCTTTCCCCAATACGCGTCTAGGTCAAACGGTTCGAAATTCTTCAACATTTCAGGCTCCTGCTCGCGATAATAGGTCGCCGTATTACCCGCGTTCCTACCGACTTCCTGCGAAACCTTACTCCAAGATTCCTGAATGAACTTAATAAGGTCGTCGTGTTGCGATGAAGACGGTCGTTCTATAGGCGGTACCCTCACGTAATTAGGCCTTCTGCTGTTCCCATTGATAGGGGCCGCATTCATCCTTGGACCACTGAGAAAAACACACCTTTTGTATTAACTTCTACATGCAAAGTAATACGTTCTTTACTCACCTCATGCTTGTAGAGATTGTTAAAAGGTTGAAATAATTAGATGGTGTGTCATTTACTGCATTTCTTGTTAAAACTTAAAATGTAAATAATAAATTAATAGATTAGTGATGTTTGGGTTATGGTTTCCATTAAAAAAACTGTGCTGTATGGTGGCTCCATCTATTCTGTTTTGACAGCTGTCCGCGAACTTGAAACGTAAATGCTATGTTGTCACGTTTAACAAATTGTTTAAATACTAAACAACCATTTTTGCGTATATTAAACTTGATATAATAATTATATAAAATGTAATATTCAATCAGTGCACTCATTTGAAGCTCATGTAATGGGCAACGATGCCTTTGAGGGTCATGCGCATTTAGGCAACTTTAATATCATTGAAGTACGTAGGGTTGCAGCTAACCCTTTAGACTTTGCAGAATTAATTTTAAAAAAGAGGACCTGGGATATTTTCGGGGAGCCGTTTTCTCCCGGATGATTTTCTTATATTTAATTAGCGTGTTAACTAACAAGAAATTGGCCCCCTTGAAGAAGGGCAGACCCAAGGAAGAATACATTGACCAAATAATGGTTGACATGGGCTGTACCTCCTACTTGAGATTGAAAAGGTTTGGTGAAAATCGGGAAGGAGGGAGAACTCTAACATCTTATCTTTCTCCATTTCCATTCAAACTCCCTTTTCTCTTCATCCCCTTCCGAAATCTCATCATCTTCTACGTATCTACATTTAGCTCCATTCCTTTCTTTCCCATAATACATCTCCATTCTTTCCATCATTTCCTCCATCGTTGCCGTTATCACTGTGTCGTCCTTCGTGTATGCCGGGGGCCATATCTTTCTTCTTCCTACTACGATCCCTCTACCTTGGCACTGTCTTAGTACTTTTTTCCGTGTCCCTTATGTAGAGATTCAATAAGGTTGGGCCTCGGGTTGGGCTATGTGGGCATCCTTGTTCTAGTGTTGACGTGTCAAAAATACTTCAGACTCCTTCCCTTCTATTCTCACCCTCAATTTTAATTATCCATACAGTTCTTTGATTCTGTTCTTTAACTTCTTGTCTATTTTCTCTTCCCGCTATGTCAAACGCTGCCTTTAAGACAAACGCAAACACCTTTCCGCCTTTTTTCCTTTTCAACAATCTGTGTAATACCACAGAAAACATATCACGTATCCCATTTGTGTCATCCTCTTCTGCATTTCTATTTTTAACCTTTTAATGAGTACCATTGCGTAGATTTTATACGCCATCGTCACTATCGTGATTTCCCTATAATTTTCCACATAGTCTTTGTCGCCCCTATTGAAAATTGGCACCATTACCCCTTCCTTCCATTCTTCCCATACCTTGTTTACTAGATTCCTCATCCTTTACTCGATCCGACCTGTGGCGAAAATCTAAGCCTCATTTCCTATCTCGTCCCTCCTTGTTGCTTTTCTTTTTTCGGTCTTTTTAGTTGCTACTCGATCTCTTTTCTTGTTATCTCAACTTCCTCTCTTCCTACCTATGTCATAGCCTCCTCTTTCTCCTACTTTCCTTGTAGTACCTTGATAAATAGTTATTTGTACAACTAGAGAAGAAAGTGAAGTTTTTCAACTCGAGTTCAAAGTCTTACCTTTGAATATAAAATTTATATTCAAAGGCTTTACACATGAGCGTAACGAGTGTGTCAATTGAACGAGAGCTGAAAAACACTTTCTTCTCAAGTATTACCTACACATTTTTTTTTGAAACTACAATCAAAATTGAAAAATTATCGTATGCAATAATGAACTTTGACACATAGCAATCTAGACGCGGGCAATTTTAAATGTCATTATTAATATTAACGCAGCAGTTGTTTTTTACTTTCCTCGCTAGAGAGGAAAATCACATTTTCTTCACCCTTTTTAAAAACGAAAGTAGGTAGTCGTTTCTAAAGTAGTGTCAGAAAAATGTTATTTCCATTCCTCTAATTTTATGTCCCTCCCAATTGTTCTATTTTACGTTTTTCCTCGGTTTAGCACCTTCTAAAAATCTTTATCTGTCTATTTCACCGATTTGCTCTTTATTAAAATAATATTAGGATATCAAACTAAAGATACTGTGGTGACATACAACTACGGTTAGACAACACACCTTACATCTGAGATAATAATCAAATACGAAACGCTCTGTGATAATGTGTTACTTGCATCGCGCACTCCAAGCTTTTGTTTCGAGTACCGTTACTGAATCATATTTCTTTGTTTTGTATACTGTATCGCTGATTATGTCGTTATATTATGTTATTAAGTATTTATTTATATACCTACTCATGCGAGAGAGTACTATCAGCGTGCTGTTTCCCTGTGCAATTTGACTAAACGTTTCATATGTGGAGAGAGTACCTCATACAGTTCAGTTTTTTCGCTGTACATGTTACTCTCTCGTGCCCGCTGCTGAACAGTGCGTAAGCAATACGAGGAAAGGGAGTCTTCAACTTAACTACTATTCAGTTTAGTATGTGATATCTAGATGTGAGATGTTTAATGATTAATTTCATGGAAAGTTGTCTTACTCCTCTTGATCGTTTTAGAATAGATTGCGGCATTTGCGGTCTTGGGATTAATGATTAATTAGGGCTAGGATTTTGATGATTTTGTATCTTTTTTTCTGAAAGTCTGAGAGATTGCTCTGTTATATATAAACTTGTTTCAGGATAAATTGAATCAAATGACAGCAACTTGTGCATTTTTTTGAGCAATGGGTCATTTTTTGCTAATTTTTACGCATTTTTTGGAGTTTTTGTGTGTTTTACTTTGAATTTTTTGCATTTTTCAGGAATAGCGCTAATTTTTTTATATTTTACGGTATTTCTCTTGGCCAACTTATAAACCTTTGTTAAAGTTTTATTTTTCATGCAGTCTTATATTTCTAAAACACAATGCAATATTTTTCTTTTCTCGGTAGTTCCGGGTAAAGTCACTAGATATAGAAAGTACCGCAATCATCCGCCATTTTTGGGCAAATTTGCTGCCAACTTAAAAAAATTGACAAACGAAATCTGAATAGCTGTCATTTTTTATAACCTAACTTCATAGTACTGTCATGTTTTATAAAAATATGTACAGATATCTCCAAACAGGTGGAACAATCCCTAACATTAAAGTTACTAGAATCTGGTAACTTCCGCCATTTTTGGGCAAAAATCATGCGTTCTCTCTCTAACACACGAGCCCAATGGATTGCGGTACTTTCTATATTTAGTGACTTTAGTTCCGGGTATCTTTACCTGTTTAGAAATGAAGCCTAAAACCTCCATTATAAACTAAATGCGTAGTCCTTAAGTCATCCACAAACGAATACCCATTCCTCACTAAGGGATTAAATTTCTTTGGGATGCGGTAAGTGAGTCAGTACCTTACATAGGTACCTAGTTTCTACGACTGGCCTGGACAGGGTGGAGATGAACCACCAATGAAATTCATGTCTTATCTTACCCAATTGCTTCTTAACATAATTTTGCGGTCTTATTCAGCTTCATCAATAAATTTATTTGTTATTTAAAATGTCATCTTTTTAAATTTTTATGTCATTTTTGTGAGATTTTTAAGTCATAATTGCATTTTTTATGTTGCATTTTCGCTGATTTTTAACGTCATTAAAATCCTAGCCCTAATGATTATTAAGGGCGGAGGTTTGAGGATTGAAGCTTAAAGCATAAAACGTTCGTTGTTCAGGTTTGAGATGTCTTGTTTCGGGATTAAAATTTTAGTGTTTATGGGTTTTTAAAATTTTAGACTATAAAATTTTTGGAAAAATTGGAAAGAGCAAGCATCAATCCAAGACGTACAATTCGTGTTGATGCATTTTCTGGTTGCAGAGAAAAAAAAATAAGAAAAAATGTAGTTACGGGAATTTTTTTGAGGGTAACTTCTAAACGAAACACTCTTGATCTTAGTTTTATTTAAAAACCATGTTTTGCGTAACTCCTCGTATTGGTGGAATTCCAAGGGCCATTAACAGAACTTAATTAGTAATTAGGTTTATGAAATCTCGAAAAGTCCTCAACTCGGTCCTCAATTACATTCATGTACGATTTCGGTTTGAATTTTTACTTGCTGAAGTTACTTACATTACGGCAATGAACGTGGAACCTAATAAATACATTCGTTTTAGTATCCCGAAGGAAACCGAAACAATGTAGCGAATTCCTGACATCATTACACTCACCCAGGGATTCCAGATTAACTGAAAGTAAAATAAAACCAACACAGGCCGTATCGATCTTGTTCAAAATAAATTTAATGTATGCTGCAAAATTAACCCCCGGAGGATCCAAATGGGGCTTTTTCCAAAACTAAACGTGAATAATGTACATTCATAAAGATGCGTGTATCATTTATTTATTCATATAATAAACCCAACAAAGTAACATTAAAAAATCTAATGGTGTTTTGATAAATTTGTTCCCAACACAATAATATGCTTAACAATTACTGTAATATACAGCGGTATTCTAAAGATTTCCAGTTTAGAACAGAATTATTGCCGTTGCTGTTATTATCGCCTATGCTACATGTTTTAGCGCGCATTATCATCAAGTCTGTTCTAATACTTGGTCTTCTTACATTTGGCGTTACGACACCGCAAGCGTCACTCAATCTTCTTTTCACCGATAACGTGTACTTTTTCGAATGGTGCGACGGTGCCGGCGGCGGCAGGGGGCACGGCGATCCAAAACTGGCGCTGACCCTTTTGTGGTGGTTCGGCGCCATCTCCAAGGGAAGGTTGGCAATCAGAAACAGTTCGTAGAATACGTCGTCCACCTGGTGGTTTTTCTTCGCCGACGTTTCTATAAATGCACAGCACTCTTGGTTTGTGCAGTAGGCTTTGGCTTCTTCTGGAACTACGGTTCTGCAACAAAAACTGTGTTTCAATACGGAACGAACAACGTCACGTGCGGGATAAGCGATGCAGGTGTTTTATCACTTCTTCTTCGGTTATTTTGAAAGAGAGCGTAAGGTATGTAGTATAATGCGGAAAAATGTTTAATGCTGTGCAAGAAGTTTCTACGCATGGAATTTCGAGTTTAAAAAGTTTGTTTTATCAAGAACGAAGAAATAATACCAAGAGAAGATTTACCATCCGAGCAGCCACAACGTGAAGTGTTCTCTTCGAGTCAGTTGTGCTGTATTAAAAGTGAGTTTTTGTTTTGTTTCTGAGAAGAATCAGTTAGATTCGTGTGTTTCGCCGAACAACGCATATTTCTTGTTCTGGTCAGTTTATTTGATTATTATTAACAGAACTGTGAGGGTTAAGTGGAAGAGCAGATGTGTGGTCATGTACCCCATCTGAACTGCGCCCCATTGGATGGTGTCAAAATTATGTTTTTTTTTCTTTCTATTATGTTTTATATATATTTTATACACTATCCAATAAAAGACAATTTATTATTATTATTATAATATTTGAGATCTCTTTTTGTAGTATAATGCGTTTGTATACGTTAATTGAATATTAAAGTGACGTCATTTAATATGACATTTGTTCTGTTCTGTGCGTTGGAGAGTCCTAGAGAAAGAATGTCGCAGTAATATCTTAATTCTACTCCAAACCACTGAATAAGCGTGAGGTCTTGGTTGTCGTGAAATGCAAGTTTGGCATATTTGATCGTAAGTGGGTTTGGTTTATTACCATAGCTCTTATTTAATTGGTCGAACAGAATTGACGATGCGAATTACTGATTAAAGATGTCCGTTCTGGTTAATAAGAAACCATGTTGTAGGCTTTATTTAATCATTAATTAAGGATGAGTTATTATTCGCGTTTGAGTTAGCGATGCGAACAGTGTGTTGTCCACAGTAGGTTCTAGGTTGCGGGAGCATTTTAGCAATACAGTTCAGAGTAAACTAAAGATTCGCGACACTTCTAAGTAAATTTAATTAAAAGATTTTGTTTTGGAATCCACACTTAAAAAGCGATTATATTCATTTAGAAAGAGTAAAAACGGGTCTATTGAGAAGAAACTATTTACACGGCAGATAGAAAAACTGAGAAGAAAAGAAGCAAGTGCAGACAAAACCAAATTACAGGAGGAACATGATAATTCAAAGCAAAAAGCATATTATTCCAAATATATGGAGAAAGGAAAGGGTCAGAGGAAATTAAATAACAGAGCAAAAGGTAGAAACGGAGCGGAATTGAAAAAAAGCTTAAAAAATGTCAGAAGAAATAGAGATGTTAGCAGAATAGGTGCACGAGGATAGTTGAAAGGAAGTAGGTATGTCAAAGTATTAAAGTAAAGGAGAAAACAGAAGACCCGGAAAAAGGGGAAAATAGTGAAATTGGCGTAAGTATTGAAACGGAAGAACATTGCAAGAAAAAAGCACAATAGGACACGAAAATGTAGATATTTATAAGAATTCCATTGCATAGAAGACAATAAAGAAAACTGCAGAATAAAGATACTGGAAATCTAGAGGAATCTAGAGAGTGCAAAGTGGAACTTTTGCGGAGAGGAAATTAAGTTTATGACGTGTATGAAGGTGGTGGGGTGAAAAAATAAGGGAAAAAACGAAGAGAAAGAAGTTGTAAATGAGATTAATTGAAAATAAAAACTCTTATGAGATGGAAGGGAATAATGATCAAAAGGACACTCGGAACAAAAGGAAAGAAATTAAGGTAACATGGATAGATGTGAAATTCAAATATCTCCAAAACGGTCAAAGATAGCCATAGATAATGTCTATGATCTAAGAATCTTAAAAAATGGGAGTTTCTATTTAGAATAAGGAAGTTTGTATGTATTTCCGGTATAAGCGGATGTATTAGAAAACTTTCATTATTTAAAAAAAGTACTTCTTTCTCATATACGGCAGATTTTCCCTTTAAAAGAGAGACCCTGTATACAATGTATGTCAACAAATATACAGGCTGGTTCAAATTTGAGGGCCACCATGATCTCGTAGACTGTAAGAGATAGATAGGTAGTTTAAATTTGCGGTTTTTTATTAAAAAAAAATTTACATTTTTGAAATCAGTAAAAAATGCTCCGTCAAATGACACAAAAAGTAAAAATGACTTCTATAAGAAAGAACAAGGTCGATGATGGTTAACCGTAGGCGAAACGTCAGACTTAAAATTGAAAACTAGCATCTAATAAGTGTCATTTAGTTTGAAATACCTTTTTAAATATCTTCGGAAAAGAATAAAACAATTTTTGCAAAATTTTGTTTTTTTAGAATATCTCCGAAAGTAGTCGAAATTTTTACAGTTTCAAAACGGTATTTTGTTACACATCTGATTTAAATATATGAATATTGCCCCGTATACACCATCAATTCAACCACCCACATTTTCAAGAAAAAGGGCAGCAACTGTCGCCGGGTCTACATTGTAGTTAAAGGGAATTTGTGTATATAAAAGATTACATTATTATTTACATTCTATTTTGATCATGAAATTATATTAGGTCAAAGGACGGTATTATATATAAGATGCGGACAGATGTAGAGTAGAGTAGAGTAGAGTAGAGTATATTTTTATTTTCACTATATATACAGTACATGCAGTGAGTCCGCATATATAAATGGAAAATATGTCAACAGTTACAATATAATGTAAAATAATAAAACGGTACAAACAAATATGATAAAATTATAAAATTTATAGAAGATTACAGTATGCAGTTATAATGTAAGGTCCGCGACAACGCCATATTATGTAAAGAATTCATTAATGGAATAATATTCAGCATTAACTAAGAAGGACTTTAAGGTGTTTTTGAACTTATTGATATTGTTTATGTTTTTTAGATCGGTTGGCAAGCAATTGAAAAAATTACAGACGTTATTATGACTACTTTTTTGGTAATATGTCGTTTTATGCTTATGAGGTAGCAAGTTATTTTTAAATCGAGTGTTGTGGTTGTGAGAAAGGGAATTAAATTGTTTTTTATTCTGATAAGCATATTTTATGATTTCATAAATGTACAGACATGGTACCGTTAGAATGTTTAATTCTTTAAACCTGGATCGGCATGTGGCACATATTTTTGCAGCTTAAATATTCTTAATAGGTTGGGAGATTGCCCCCATTGAATTATTGCAAATCTTATATGGCTTTCAAAACAAGCAAAATATAATGTTCTGAGGGTTGTACTAGAGCATTTGTGTGCTAGGGATTTTATTGCAAAAATGGACGACGATAGTTTTTTACATAAGTTATCTATATAATGGTCCCATTTAAGGTTTTCATTTAAATTTATGCCTAATGTTTTTGTATTTTGCTCTAGTTCAATCTTCGAGTCCTTATAGATAATGTATTGGGGAAAGTCATGTTTAGATCTAGCTGTAACAAAAGGAACGCATTTTGTCTTGTTTATATTTAGACACAATTTATTAGTTTCCATCCATTCTAAAATAGTATCCATAGTTGTACTAAGAATTGGTTGGATATCGCTACTTTTTGGACAGGTAATTAATATATTATTGTCGTCCGCATATGTAGTGATGTGAATGTTAGAGTTGTAAGTAAAAAGATTTAGCAGATCGTTTACGTATATAATGAACAGTGTTGGTCCCAATACACTCCCTTGAGGCACGCCCATTTTAACTTTCAATCTATTTGATAGGACAATTTCGTTGTTTTCAGTTAATCGTACTGTTTGGTATCTATTCTCTAAATATGATTGAAACCACTCCAAACACGCACCCCGTATACCGTATCTTTCCAGTTTTTCCAACAGAATTGTATGGTCTACGCAATCGAAAGCCTTGCTCGTATCTATGAAAACTCCTAACGGAATACATTTATTATCAATGGTTTCGACTATTTTGTTGATAAATGCGAAGAGTGATGTTTCTACGCTTTTGTTTCGCATAAAGCCGTGCTGATTATCATTAAGAAGGTTATTTGTTACGAAAAACGCCATTAATTTATCATTAATAATGATTTCAATAATTTTTGAGAAAGAAAAAACTAAGCTGATGGGTCTGTAATTTTGAAATTCACTTTTATCGCCTTTCTTAAAGAAGGGAAGTACTACTGCGTGTTTTAATTTGGTTGGAAATTTAGAGAATTTAAAAGTTAAATTTATTATATGAGTAAGAGGACTTAAAAGACTATCTTCACAATTTTTTATTAGTCTGTGAAAAAAAAATTACTCATATAATAAATTTAACTTTTAAATTCTCTACATTTTCAACCAAATTAAAACACGCAGTACTTCCCTTCTTTAAGAAAGGCGATAAAAGTGAATTTCAAAATTACAGACCCATCAGCTTAGTTTTTTCTTTCTCAAAAATTATTGAAATCATTATTAATGATAAATTAATGGCGTTTTTCGTAACAAATGTAGCTTAAGACGGTGTGTAAATGCAGTGCGGAAACCTTAAAGAAGAATTTCATAAAATTTGTTGAGGACCGAGAAATTATTAGATCGTTGAAGGTGATTGCGGTGGCTGCAAAAAGCTGAACTATTAAAGAGAATCGTAGAATCGTAAATGTTGATTGGTATACCACAATTTACTTAGCGGAAGTTATCGACGAAGTAAAAAGAATCGGAATAGACAAATTATTCTCGATCATGACAACGCCAGAACTCAGTCAGTGCATCAAAGCGTTAATTGCGACCGAAACTCTCAATTAATGGCCCTTTGTACTGAGTTCCCTCGATTTATCAACGTGCGATTTTTCTTTTATTTGCAAAAATCAAAAATAAAATGTGCTTCTCGTGGCCTGAAGCACCTGTTGAAGGGTTCGTGGCACTAATTTCGAAAGCATCCGTTTCATAGTGGAAAAAACTCTTCGTAAATTGGTTTGATCGAATGTAAAAAGGTGTATTGAGTATTGACATCAAATGCGACTATCTCGTGAAGCAATAACATTACTGAATTGTAGCTAATGTAATTTTT